CGAAGCTCTTTCAACTTGTGATCAATTACAGCTACCGGTCTCTTCTCGTAAGTCAAGTTTTCTCTAACTTGCACCTCATCCATCTCTATCACGTGACTCGGGTCTCTGATGTACTTCCTCAACTGTGAAACGTGAAACACATCATGCAGGTTGGACAGAATCGGAGGTAACGCCAACTGATATGCTACCGGACCTACACGACGAAGGATCTGATAAGGACCAATGAACTTCGGTGTGAGTTTCTTGGCCCTTACAGCCCTTCCCACTCCAGTAGTGGGTGTCACCCTGAGAAACACATGCTCTCCCTCCTCAAACTCTAGAGGTCTCCTCCTCTTATCAGCATAAGACTTTTGTCGATTCTGAGTAGCTCTCAACCTCTCCTGAATCTGTCTCACCATCTCAGTAGTCTGAAGAACTAACTCTGGACCAACCACTACTGACTCACCCTCCTGATACCAACATAATGGAGTCCTACACCTCCTGCCATATAGAGCCTCAAAAGGTGCCATGCCAATACTCGCATGATAACTATTATTATAGGTAAACTCTACCAATGGCAACACCTCCTCCCAGCTACCCAGATGGTCCAACACACAAGCTCTCAGAAGATCCTCTAGTGACTGAATTGTCCTTTCCGACTGACCATCTGTCTGTGGATGATAGGCGGAACTCAACCTCAATCTCGTTCCCAACGCCTGATGTAGAGTCTGCCAAAACCTTGAAGTAAACCTTGGATCTCTGTCAGAAATAATACTGGAAGGCACTCCATGCAGCCGTACTATCTCTCGGATATATAACTGTGCAAGCCTCTCCAAGGACCACCTCTTGTTGACAGGAAGAAAATGAGCACACTTTGTCAACCTATCAACAATCACCCAGATAGAGTCACTGTTCCTAGTTGTCCTAGGCAATCCAACCACAAAGTCCATAGTGACACTATCCCACTTCCACTCAGGAATCTCCATCAACTGTAAAACCCCTCCGGGCCTCTGATGCTCAATCTTCGCCTTCTGACAAGTCAAACAAGCGGCTACAAACTCTGCTATCTCCTTCTTCATACCAGGCCACCAGAAACTTTTCTTGATGTCTTGATACATCTTAGTCATACCAGGATGTATGCTAAGACGACTCATGTGTCCCTCCTCTAGAACAGCTCTCCTCAATAATTATAATAAAAAGTACTTCAACGGAAATCTCAACACATGCTTTGTTATAAAACCATTGCTTGATTTTGTTTTTGTGGTTGTGTCAAATCATCATTTCTTTGGTTATTTATGAATGGCATACAAAAAAGAACTCTGTATAATATGTTTACTACTAAGGGAAAAAATTAATGTAAGTCCAAGTCGAATTCCTTGCCAACTCATGTTTGCATTGGAAAAAAATCTTGAACAAGTAAACTGCACTCAATTGTTAATATAGTTTAAACAAATATAAGATTTTAAGTAACACCAGTCAAAATGAAATCTTATATATTTCAGAATTTATATATAGCAATTAATTTATAGTTTTGCCCTTAATGATTGAAATTAAAATGTAAATTATAAAACTTACATGGAGTGGGAGCAACATTGTTTTACTCAGTCTAGCTAGAGATATTCAGATAGAGTTTTATGGCCACAAATTATGGGAGGGTTAAAACTTAAAACAGAATAATGAAAATCTCAATTTATTTAGCACATTTTAACATCCATACAGATCATAAAGTTTCCCAAATACATTACATTTTCATTTTTTTTTTATTGTAACTGTGACACAACAAAGAAAGTACATTCTAATATCTTTTCTACTAATTGAACATAGAACATTAACAAATGATAATTGAATGATCAGTGGTGAGCAAGTGCAACAATTTGTTTTCCAAAGTTGCGACCACTGAAAAGTCCAACCAGAGCTTGTGGCCCATTCTCAAGTCCTTCAACAATGTCTTCAACATACATAACTTTCTTTTCTCTAATGTAAGGCACCACAGTCTCTAACATCTTTGGATAGAGATGATGGTGATCTCGGTGTGTAAACCCTTTTATATTTAGTCTCTTGAATGCAATATGCATCAAATTCTTTAGGGCTTCAGGTTCAGGAATATTGTACTGTGAAATCATTCCACAGATAGCTATACGACCATGAACCTTCATATTCAGGAGCACTGCATCAAACAATTTGCCCCCAACTTGCTCAAAGTAGAAGTCAATGCCTTCAGGAAAGTACCTAATAACAAAGAATTCAACAAGCAATTAGTGCTTCATTAAGACTCTTATTTTTCACACACCATGTTTTGAAACCAATAAATCGCATGGCTTAAGCTGATATTATAAATAAGTAATGTTATTTCAACTTAAAATTCTCACTATACATTTTATATCAATAGAGAAATAAAAGGTGAAGAGAAAGATAAGACAAGTGATGTGATAGAGAGAAATTGAGAAAAAGAAAACAGTAAATACTTTATGTACTGATTATGCAAAGAATAAAGTTTTGTTAACTTTTATTATAATTACATTAAAAGTCATAACAATTAGTGGATGATAATATAAAATTTAAACATTATCTGAGAGTGTGTGATTACCTTTTGAGGGCTGCATCCAAGTCAGGTACTTCCTTGTAATTAAAAGCAGCATCAAACCCAAGCTTGTTCTTTAGAAGATCAACCTGGATTAAACATGATGGAGTATGGACTCAATTTCAAACATAACATGGATCTAATTAGCGAAGTTTAAGATTCTGTTTGGATACAAGTTTAGAACATTATTTGATAGTTTTTCTACTAGAAGAAACTTCTTATTTTTCTTAGAAAAATTCTGATTTGTATCCAACCATGTTCTAAGCATGATCAAGTTTCATGGAAAATGTGTAGTGTAGACCATAGAAAATATTTACCTTTTCTTGACTACCTGCACTTCCAACAACATAACAACCCAACAATTTGGCATATTGTCCAGCCAGTTGACCAACAGCACCAGATGCTGCTGATATGAAAACACATTCTCCTTTCTTTACAGAACCAACTTCAAAGATACCAGCATATGCAGTAATACCAGGCATACCTAATGAAATAGAAGAGAGGAGACATTACAAACTAACCAAAGTAGTAAATGTAATTATTTGACCTTTGTAGCATTACATTCAAATGAGCACAACAATAATAATACATGTTTAGAGAAACTCAATTACCAAGAATTCCGGTGTAGTAGGAAAGGGGTACATCAGTGTGATGGATTTTGAAGAGCTTTTCTGGATTTTGGATGAGACTGTACTCTTCCCAACCAGTTGCTCCCCATATAAGGTCACCTGCACTGAAGTTAGGATGCCCTGAATCCAAAACTTTAGCCACTCCATATCCATTTATGGGCTGCAAGGTAAAAACCAAAATGAAAAAGAAAAAAATCCAATGTAAGCTTATGTTCAGCACCAAAATACTTATCAACCTCAAATTAGAAAATGCAGAGGAAATAATGAACATAAAGAAGAAAACAACTTAAAAACTTTCATTTTTTTTAAAATTTTTAATCTATGTATAAATTAATTTTAGTTTATCCAAATTTATTTCAATTTTTCTCTCGCAAAAGTATATCCAGAGAAACTTATCTAATCATACATGCATTCTTTTGCTTCTTAATAACCAAAATGAAGAAAATATTCCAATTTACAAGGACACTTACAGAGCCAGGAACGTAGTAGTTATATCCAGACATAGGAAATTCAGTCTTCTTCATTAGGAATTGCATGACTGGATCACAAGAAAGGTAGAGATTCTTCACCAAAACCCCATTTGATCCTTGAGGAACCTGAAGCTTAATGGTGTTTGTGCTTGTGTATAGGTCAGATTCTCTGGGGTAGCCACTCACGTAGTCCCTTAATATTACCTGCTTGTTCTGCACTTCCTCTCCAACATTGTTCTTTTCCATGATGATAAATTACACTTGGCAATCTTTCTGTGAAACTTGAAGGCTTTTGTTAATGTTCCTCTCTATGGTCCTCAAACCAATATTTCTTTCTATTTAAAGTTTATCATGCAACCCATTGTCCCACCAAATAAAAGAAATGTAAAAAAATACTTTTCAACAATATTTTTATAAATTTAATTGTGATGCACTTAACTAATTAAAAATCATAATTCGTGTGACTTTTAAGATAGTTATTGTAAAAATAAACAAATTTATCATTTATTGTGACTTATGATGGGATGAAAATGCATGATTATGCATCACTATTAAATCATAATTATGACGAGTATGCTTACGAAAATTTGATTCATGGGTTGCTGCCTTTGCGTAGTTCTCTTGAGTTGTATAGCCATCGGATTCAGAGAGATTCAAAATTAGTGACCTGAGTGATTGAATGAATATGTGACGAACCTGATTATGTTTTTAAGACAACTTTTTTGACTTATCTTTTTGGTAATGACAAATGAAATGTTGATATATAGTGTTTGATGAGATTACCTTTGCCGTTGGTGTAGTCTAAAGAAATCACGAAATCGTTTTATTTTGTGCTTTTGACTAGTCCCTTCATTCAATTACCTTAGTTGAAGTGCAATTAGGGGCAGGGGAGAGGAAAATCTTGAATGTGTAGAATGCATAGTTATGACACGAATTTTCGAAACAAACTTTATAAATTCGGAACCACAAATCAATCAAAAAAATATTCAAATTTATATTAAAAAAATGGCTAGACGAGCTGCCTCAAGCCCTTTCAAGTAAGCTTTAATTAGGAGTGTGTACATTTAATATTTTTTTCTTATAAGAAACTTCTTTTAATAAAACAAATACTTATTTATTTTTTGATGTATTTGCTTAAAAAAATTAAAATAAATATTTTTTTTACTGCAGTGATTGAAATTATTAAAAACTACAGTAAATAAGTTGATGAAATGTCTCAGTCAAGCGTCATTCAATTTGTTAAGAAACAGGTGATGTAATACATTATCTACAACTTTAACAGTCATATGTGCTATCAATCCCATCATGAATACATTAGCAGGACCAAATTCACAATTTCAAATAACCACTCCTTTTATATCAAGTATAATAAATAAATTTATATTTATTATTTCTTTATTCTTATTACACACTTCTCTTCTCTTCTTTACTTTTTCCATCTACTTTTCCTTTCCCAAACACACCCTTAGGAATCATTTACTTCAATGGATAACTTCAAAAAGGCAATGAACATTTTCTTTTGGAGCTAAATCGGTTGAATGATAAATTTGATTGCCCCTTCTTTGTTTTCATTTGATACAATAGCAAAGTTAATTTCTTTCTCCAAGTTTGGACTTTTATATTTTTTTTTTTCAAAAATAAATATATACAATAATAACATAAGTAATACATTTTACTATGCTAGTAACTTTTCCTACCCCTCAAACCCAATTTTTGTACGTTAGAGACATTGTTTTCAAAATTTTCTGTTCAGAAATTGAAATTGGCCACCCCAATTTCTAAAAATAACTATTATTTTATTATTTATATTTTTAAAATTTTGGTTTCCAAATTTAAATTTTCTTAAAATTATTTTATTAATTTAATTTGTGAAATCTATTTTAATAATTAGTTAATAAAATTATTATTTTATAATTAAAATTTTTATTTTGTATAATTTAAGGATTACATTTTAAAAATATTATGATTTCTCTAGTTAAAAATACTTTTTTTTAAAAATTAATTTTATAAAGATTGTGGTAATAAATAAGTAATTAGGATTTAATTGGATAACTTTTTGATAATTAGTTCCATAATTAAAATTATAAAATTAAAATTTTTAACGATCAATTAATGTTAATTAAATTAAAAATGATGACAAAATCTTATTTGATTAGAATTTAAAATTAAAATTATATGTTAATGAAAATATTAGTCGTTGTAAAGGTGTCACTACCACGTAATAAATGTTGTCACGTCTTGAATTTTTATCTGGTTGTTTATGATGTTGGATTTGATTGTGTTCATTGGTAATTGTCATTGATCTACATCTTCTTGTAAATTTAAATGAGTTAATCATTTATACACTATTAGTGTAAAGTCTTTTTATACTGGCAACTAAATATATTTTTTAATTGTGTTATGTCACTATAACACATTTACTTTTAATAATGATATGGCACAATTAAAAGATTTAATTGGTTGTTAGTGTAAAAAAAACTTTACAGTAGCAGTGTATAGATGATTAACTCAATTTAAATTACTTGAAAAGGAGACAACCACCAATAGGTGATCATACCACAACTAATGTGATCTAGAACAACCTCCACCTCTAATCTCAAATCTCTGAACTGCTCAATCAGCTCCAACTCCTTAATCATCATAGCCAACATGTGAAGGGATTTCCTACTCAATGCATCTGCTACCACATTTGCCTTTCCAGTATGATACATCAATTGAAAATCAAAGTCCTTTAAGAATTCCATCCACCTCCTCTGTCTCATATTCAGCTCTTTCTGATCAAACAGGTATTTCAAACTCTTGTGATCACTGAATACACTGAATCTCGCACCATACAGATAGTGTCTCCATGACTTCAAGGCAAAAACCACAGCTACAAGCTCCAAATCATGAGTATGATAATTCCTTTCATGGTTCTTAAGTTGCCTCGAAGCGTATGCCACTACTCTCCCTCCCTGCATCAACACACAACCTAACCCCTGGTGAGAAGCATCACAGAACACATCAAAATGCTCATTAGTGTCAGGTAACACCAAAACTGGAGAAGTAGTCAACCGTCTTTTCAACTCTTGAAAACTCTGCTCACAAGCATCCGTCCAAACAAAAGGCTGATCTTTTCGAGTCAATTGAGTCAAAGGCATTACTATTCGAGAAAAACCCTCAATGAATCTCCGATAGTAACCCGCCAACCCAACAAAACTCCTAATCTGTGTAGCAGTCTTCAGACGTTCCCACTGAATCACAGCCTCCACCTTGGCTGGGTCCACTGCAATCCCCTCTGCCGATATCACATGTCCCAAAAATTTTACCTCAGACAACCAAAACTCACACTTTTGTGGTATGATCACCATAACTAATGAGTTCTTGAAACAGGTGGGAACTAAACAGTTACAGGACCCAGATTTGTTGAGGATTTTGGGATTGCTTGGTACTGAGAGGGCAGCTGGTTTTGAGCTTGGTACTGATGGGATTCTGAGATTCAGAGGTCGGATTTGTATGCCTTATGATTCAGAGTTGAGGAGAGCTGTTCTAGAGGAGGGACACATGAGTCGTCTTAGCATACATCCTGGTATGACTAAGATGTATCAAGACATCAAGAAAAGTTTCTGGTGGCCTGGTATGAAGAAGGAGATAGCAGAGTTTGTAGCCGCTTGTCTGACTTGTTAGAAGGCGAAGATTGAGCATCAAAGACCCAGTGGGGTTTTACAGTTGATGGAAATTCCTGAGTGGAAGTGGGATAGTGTCACTATGGACTTTGTGGTTGGATTGCCTAGGACAGCTAGGAACAGTGACTCTATGTGGGTGATTGTTGATAGGTTGACAAAGTGTGCGCACTTTCTTCCTATTAACAAGAGGTGGTCCTTGGAGAGGCTTGCACAGTTATATATCCGAGAGATAGTACAGTTGCATGGAGTGCCTTCTAGTATTATTTTTGATCACTGTTCCTAGCTGTCCTAGGCAATCCAACCACAAAGTCCATAGTGACACTATCCCACTTCCACTCAGGAATTTCCATCAACTGTAAAACCCCACTGGGTCTTTGATGCTCAATCTTCGCCTTCTAACAAGTCAGACAAGCGGCTACAAACTCTGCTATCTCCTTCTTCATACCAGGCCACCAAAAACTTTTCTTGATGTCTTGATACATCTTAGTCATACCAGGATGTATGCTAAGACGACTCATGTGTCCCTCCTCTAGAACAGCTCTCCTCAACTCTGAATCATAAGGCATACAAATCCGACCTCTGAATCTCAGAATCCCATCAGTACCAAGCTCAAAACCAGCTGCCCTCTCAGTACCAAGCAATCCCAAAATCCTCAACAAATCTGGGTCCTGTAACTGTTTAGTTCCCACCTGTTTCAAGAACTCATTAGTTATGGTGATCATACCACAACTAATGTGATCTAGAACAACCTCCACCTCTAATCTCAAATCTCTGAACTGCTCAATCAGCTCCAACTCCTTAATCATCATAGCCAACATGTGAAGGGATTTCCTACTCAATGCATCTGCTACCACATTTGCCTTTCCAGTATGATACATCAATTGAAAATCAAAGTCCTTTAAGAATTCCATCCACCTCCTCTGTCTCATATTCAGCTCTTTCTGATCAAACAGGTATTTCAAACTCTTGTGATCACTGAATACACTGAATCTCGCACCATACAGATAGTGTCTCCATGACTTCAAGGCAAAAACCACAGCTACAAGCTCCAAATCATGAGTATGATAATTCCTTTCATGGTTCTTAAGTTGCCTCGAAGCGTATGCCACTACTCTCCCTCCCTGCATCAACACACAACCTAACCCCTGGTGAGAAGCATCACAGAACACATCAAAATGCTCATTAGTGTCAGGTAACACCAAAACTGGAGAAGTAGTCAACCGTCTTTTCAACTCTTGAAAACTCTGCTCACAAGCATCCGTCCAAACAAAAGGCTGATCTTTTCGTAATATTTAAAAATATTAATTAGTGAAGTCCGCAGACTAGCTCGCGAGCCCGCGGATTAAATCTGCCAAGTCCGGACTTCACGGCCGGGCTCAAAAATTAGACATAGTCATACGGATTTGAAAAAAATGGGTCCATTATCCGCGAAATTCGCGGACTTACGGATCGATCTACGAACCCGGGTCCGTCTACCCACCCCTAGATGTCACATATCCTATCAGAGCATGCACAACTGAAGCCTAAGCCTCATCATCAACATCCTCATGTTGATGATCACCTGCAACACAATTTAAACACAGACAAATAACAACAAGGGAGTGAGAAACATCTCACTCAGGTTCAGGTGTAGAAATAAAGGTTAGATAGCACACACACAACAAACATATTACAAGTCATAAACACCAATCACATATAAACAAAACACATACATAATCAGTATCACATGTACACTCATTTATTATGCAATGATATCATGGACTCGACTCATAAATGCATGTGGCGCTAGTCACGTGTCTCATCACATATCTCATCATTTCATCATTGGTGACCCAAGGTACACCTTGCTAGTCTGTTACATCACCGGTGACCCTAAGGTACACCTTGTCAGCTTGTTACATCACCAATGATCCTAAGGTACATCTTGTTAGCTTATTACATCACTAGTGACCCTGAGGTACACCTTGTTAGCTTGTTACATCACCAGTGACCCTAAGGTACACCTTGTTA